GGATAATTGAAAAGTCGGATAACCGAAAAGTATGAAAAAATCCATTATTAGTGTAGTATATTATTATATCCCATGTAATTAGTATATTAGTATATCGCTATTAACCTACTTCGCGTTGAATTTTCATCGATGTTAAGCCTAACAAAAATTTTTTAAAATAATAATCATCGCTATTGTATCGTTAAAAATTAGAAAATTAAGCCTCGTTTAAATACTGACCCCCCTTTCATGGTCGAATGAGTGTTGCCAGCTAAAACACGTAAAAATAATATTAAAGTAGCCAAGACATAGCCAAATATTGTAGCGCCACATCACTAGTTGACATTTGAAATTTGCCGACTAGGATGGTCGGTTAACCGAGGTGTCGGTTAATCGAGGCTCTACTGTACTTAAATTAATATTTTAATAATTAATTTAGAGGGTTCTGGAAGAAAAGAATTGGTCCAAAGTAAAACACGAACCTACAACTCTTGCTTACCAGTTACACTACCCAGACCGCTCTCTGATCTTTGCTTCCAGAACTTTATCAAGAGATGACATCTAATGCATACTTCTAGATCAAAGTACTTAAAATTTAATTACTAATAGTAGTATTCTTACATATAATATTAGAATACCAATATTCTGTAAAGTTTGTTATTGCTTCATTATTTTAAACTGTTAACTGCAATGTATTTTGGACATTATTTGATTTTAAATCGTTTGTTTGAAATCAAAGAACAAAGAGCAAGAAGGAATCTAGTATACAGATTAAATTTAATACTCTATTTCCAGTTAAATCCAATCATTTTTTAAAAATTTTATCTTTTTTTTTATTTTATCTTGTTAGGTGTAAAAGTATATGTCAGCTTTTCAGGCAAACTATTTATTAGTTATGTTTTATCCTTTTGTATTGTCTATTCACATGAATAGCTTTACCAGCTTATGAACAGCATCAAGATCTACACCAGCCATACTCAACTTGCAGCCCAGCAAGCTTCTATGTGCAACCCATAACATTCAAATTCATTAAGTACTTTTTTTTTAAACTTCTGAAAATCTGGCATGAGTTTTAAAATCTCAAGACACAGGCAACCCTTGACTAGTTGATTTCTGCACACAGTGTTCTTGTGACTTGTGTCTTGTTATGTAGTATCATCAATGTGTGCATTTTCTCTTATAATTTTAAGTGTCAATTATGCTAAACTGAAGTGACTGTTTTAAACTGAATAGTTGTGTCAAAAATAATTTGATTACCCAAAATGCCAGGAGTGTCTTCAAAATACAAATAAAAAATATCCAAAGAAAATAGTGTTTCAAGACAATTGGGAAGAAGAATATTTTGTTGTGCCAATACATACAATTTGGCAACTTGTTTGATCAGTCATGAAAGTATATTATTAAAAAGACATAACATCGTTTATTATACTATGAAACACAAATCATTTAATGATCTTTCCTTGGGAGTCTTTAATAAGATGTGAAAAGTTAACTTTCTTTAAGAAGTCATTGCAATAACAACAAAGCATTATTTTAGTGGTGTTATCACAAAATGCAGTGATGACAAGCAGTGGCACACCCAAGGGTGGTCAAGGGACCCTGGCCCCTTTCAAAGAAAAAGGAAAACAAACAGTAGAAATTTTTCCAAAAATCTCTTCCTAATTAAAATTCATTTTTTAAATTTATATTCTGTGGTGTCTTCTATTTCTATACTATTTATGAATTAGTAGTCACCTAAGGTAAAAATTTTATTGAAATTGCATTAAAATTTTTTTTTTTATCTATTCAACTCAGTTCCCAAAGAGTAAATTCTGAATGTGCCACTGTTGGCAAGAACATAATATGAAATTTGTTAAATAATTGGTAAAAATCTGAAACCATTTACAGACACAGAAGTTGTGATAAAATATTTCATCAATGCTTCCAATTTTAGCAATAAAAATCAAATAATATTGCATATTAAAAAAATGCAACTTTCTGATTCTACCTGTATTAGATGTATTAAAGATATTGCAAATTACATTTCTGATCACATCAAAGATTTGAAAATTGTAAATACAGTACTTTAGCTTCGTTTTTGATTCTACTACTTACATTTCTGCAACATCAGAGTGTTCTATTTTTGGCGCATATTACATTGAACAAATTCAATTCATGATTTTTTAAAAATTTTTTCTATGAAGAATCAAACCAGAGGCATCAACTCCAGCAACAAATTGCTTAACTTTCCCAGTAACATTTAAAATTTTGGTGGCACGATCTGTTATGATATTTCTGCAACATTCACAATGTTTTGTTTTCATTAGATACTGTACTGAACAGAATTTATGTAGATTTAAAAAATTTTTTTCCTATGAAGAATCAAACCAGAGGCATAGATTANTTTTGTAAAATTAATTTAAACAATGACAGCAATCTACTAAAAAAATTCACTCAACTGAGAAATATGTGAAAGAATAAAGAGTTTTTAAAGATTTAATAGTATATATATTTATTATACAGTAATACCCCGAACTTATGCGATAGGTGGGACTGACCAATAACCGCGTAAGTCAAATTCGCGTAAGTTGGGGTATAATTTCGCAATTTGTGTAAAATCCAAATTGGATGTATGTAAGCTAATAAATGTTCTCGTTAATCTTATCTCGTCTTTTGATTCATTCATGGTTAGAAGAAATCACCACATAGAGTCTCTCAAGTCTCTGTAGATATAACAAACACAGAAATAAATAACACAAAATAAATTGTAGCTATGTGTCTATTCCACGACATGTAAGCCGAACAATAGTGGGGGGGAGTGAGTAATCAAGAGATGCATGACGCTCAAACAAAAGACGAATCGACAAGATTTGAAAATTGCGTAACTCCGGGTTTGCATAAGTAGGGGTAGCGTAAGTCGAGGTATTACTGTATTTGTAAATTTTACTTATGTTGAAATTTAAAAAAATATAAGACAATACAATTTTTGCATTCTTTGATAATAAAATTTTGTTTCTCTAGAACAATTTTTTCCAACAAGACAATGCCAATTATGTCCTGCTTCACCAATGTTAAAATCTGGTCACCTTATTCTACATACCTTAAAACTAGCATAAACATTTAATAAAAAGTTTGAAAATGTTTGTTAAGTGTTTATGGTGATTTTAAGGTGTATTGAACTTGAGTTTTATTAATATTTTTGTAAAAAAGTTCCATTTCACTTTAAATCTTAATAAAAAATGTTTAAAATTTTATTACACATACATGTGGAGAACTCTGAAAAAAACTAAATTACAGGTAGCCTTTGGTTTATGCCGCAGTTCTGTTCCTACAAAAGCCAGCGCAAATCAAATTGGCTTAAAATGAATGCATATTTACAGTGAGGTATAGGGTTAGGTTATACATAAGTGAAAAATAAGCAAATAGTTTTGTTTATTAATACAATATACATATATTATAAATTTAATTTTTAAAAATGTATTTTATGATAAAATAAAATGAAATGTTTTTATTAAAAAATCTTAAGAAAAACAAATGATATTTCAAACTTTCGGATCTCTTACATTTTTCAGAAAAAAGTATCCATTTGTAATTGTTTAGATTTTTGTTTTATTTCATTAATAATTTTGGAATATGGTCAAATGATACGACGATGCACCTTTTTACATTTACACTTCGCTCCCAATCATTGTCTAACTCACAAATTTCATCCGTCAAACTTTCCATAGTTGAAAGGATATGCTAACCTGAAATAGAGCTACAGACGAGTGAAGACGCTGGTTGACTGCTGACCACCATAGCGCATATATAAAGTCAGTTTAGGCAGAAAAATTGAAGTTGGTTTCGTCTCGCTAAGGAGAGTTAGATATTGTCTGGTCAACGAGAAGTAGATTTCGTCTCACTAACAATAATTTGTGATCGTTGGAAGTGCTACTGCGTCGTAAGATGTTTTCCTGAACAAACTGATACGGGATACGAACTATTTGCATTCATTAGCGCTCTAGATTTGGACAACATTTATTGGACTATTAAGTTAATTAATAACTTGACTCGTGGGAACGTTTAGTATTTTAATATTAATTTAATGCAAATGTATACATACCCAATAATATTAAACAGAAAAAATAAATATATTCAATAAAAATATTTGTTTTAACGAATGTACAATGTCATGGCTCAGTAAATACGTCAACACTGAAACGAAAATCAGTCTGGCATAGGGAAAATTGGGGAATTACACCGCAAAACGGCAAATTGTGCAGCGGCGTTGTTGTGAATCGGCGTAAATTGAGCCGGTGTAAACCGAGGGCTACCTGTAAAACATTTCTTAAAATAATTGACAGATTTCATACATTTAGAAGTGATAAGACTTGTGATTTTGCTTACATAACTCAAAAAGATTTTTTGTAGTCATCACTATTTTAGTACAAAATGACACACAAACATCGTTCTTAAAAAAATGTAATCTAAAATTTTTAATTTATCCATTTCAGAATGTTAATACATATATTAATATTTCCTATCATTACAATCCTTTCTTTTGATTGATTATGCTTAAGGAAATATAAATTTTAATAAAAATATTTTCATTTAGAGAGAATAAATATAAGTCATCATTTTTTATTTATCTGATAAAATCCTATATATGAATGAAAAGTATGTAATAGTAATAACAAACAGTAAATTCAGTTTGTTCTCATTATTTACAATATAATTATTGTGACGATTATATCACAAAGACAAATTTCTTTCATTTCTAATTAAATAATGCTCGACCAACGTTACAAATGAATAAATCAATCTGGAGCAATTATATCTTCTAACAATGCATATTAATATTACAATAGACTTGGGAATTTTATAGATTGTATTCTGTATTGTATCATTGTATTGTATTGTATTGTATTGTATACAATATGGCAAATATATGGAAATTTTACTTTAGAAATTCAAAATGTTATGAAGTTGTTCTGTGGATTGTTTTGATAAGAGTTTAAATATATTTTAAAAAGCATTATCATAATATAAGATGTATATATGGCAATGTTTTATATTTTTCATTTTATTTCAATGTTATTTAAACGTAAATTCCTTTAATTTATGTCAGAAATGCCAATTGAACTATGACTCATACCAAGATGGCGAGTTGTTAAATAACCCTAACACCTAATTTTGAAAATACTTATGAGTAAAAGATTGTACCGGACAACCTTCGTAAGAAATTCAGATATATTCAGAATTATCAAACTTACGTTATCGATAACTACAGGTTGATTAACAATAACATCGTACGACTCCATAATTTCCAATAAGCAGAAGACGCCTGTTATTAATCCTGAAATCCAACAGAGGTCGCTAAACTCTCAAAACAATACATATAAAAAATTATTCACATTTCGTTTCGTATTTTAAAAATTTAATAATTATTTAAAAAAAATTAATAAGTAAATAACTTTTTCAATATTAAAATTTGATGGAAATTATTATTTTGTTTCTGAAATGCAAAACTCGAATAACATTAAACTGTAATTATTACTAATAATTAATTATCAAAAAATTTTATATAATATATATTTTAAAAATAAATAGTTTGATTAAATTAATATTAATATAAAAAAATAAAATGAAATTGAAATAATAAATGTTTATGATAATTTTAATTAATTTTTTTAAATATATATTTATATAATCAAATTTAATCAATTATAAAGAAATTTAATTTGAAATTTTTAATAAAAACATTATTTATCTTTTTAATTTCGTTATAATTAAACATTTTCTTATAATTATTTTTGCGGTTATGTATTATAGGTTAACAAAATGGATGTTGTAGGAGGAAGCGAATTGGGAATGCATTTTAATAGGAATTTAAGGTTTAATCCTCTTCCTGTAATACCTCCAGGTTTAGAATCTTTATATACAGCATGTAGAAACATATATCCACAACAACCCAATCCTTTACAAGTTACAGCTGTAGTTAAATATTGGTGAGTATTATACATGATATGCCCTACATTATGTATTGTGATAAATATTTGACAACTAATAAAAATCCTGGTAAATAATTACTATCAATAAACATATGAAACAAATTGTTTATCTCTATATAACCAATGCTATTTAAATTTGCAATAAAATCTGAAAGTATTTCAGAAGTTGTGAGTATTAAACTATGGTACTACATGATATATGATCTGGCTAAGTTATGTATACAGTATTTTCAAAAATACACCTGCTCTAAAATTAGGTTATTGAATGGAGAATATTACAAGGATGCATAAGTATCGAAATTTAAAATTTTTAAAAGCTACAGCGGAGTTAGGAATTCTATTTACATGGTTGAGATATCATTTTAAACTGATAGGAATTACTTTTAGTAATTTGTATATATATTATTGTGGTGCTTTTATGTTATGGGTCTGCACATTGTGTTCCGATGTCGCGCCATGCTCTTTCGGGTTGCCAGCTATTGTGTTGCTTATGGACTGATGCAACATATTTAGATTATGATTTAAAATAAGTTTAAATGATAAATGCAATTTTATGCATTAATGCAAAAATTAAAATTTAAGTAAGAAATTTTTGTTTTTATAATGTTAAATTTATCTTGTTAATTTTTTTATATACACTATTGTGTAGGGTGAACAAATGAAAAGTTTACTTGTGAGGATTATACTTAGGGTCTGTTCAAAAAGGCTTACTGGTTCAACTCTTTAGATTGGTATCATTCAAAAAGATAACCTATAAAATTTATGGTGATTTATCGGTTGCTACCAGACTCGCTGAACTTCAAGAGTGGATTAGAGAGTGACTGACCTAATACTGATGAGGTCGTTTACTGCTACCAACCACTTGAGTTGTAAGCATTTCTAAAGACCTCCTTAGTGATGTTGGGAGTTGGTGACAGTGTACCAACTTGTTGTACACCACTGATTTATTTATTTAGAGTTTCAAATGGCTTTTTTTGAATGTGTAATAAATAAATGTTTAAAATTTGAGTATTTTTCAAGATGTACAGCAGGACGTAACTAATGGAATTGCCAAATATATTCTTTATAATTAAATTTATTATTTGATTTACTTATATATTTTCTGACTTATGAGACTATAATTAAAATATAAATTTCTTGCAATGTAATTAGTCTAGAAACTGTAGGGAATGCCAGAAATAAAATTCACACCTTAAAATACGTTACAGTAATAAATTTTAAGGTGATAGTTTTATTTTGTGTGAAATCCGCGATTTTTACACCAATGTCGGAAAAATCTTTGTAAACAACTCTGATGGAAAAAACACTCTTGGTGAGAAGTATATTGGAGGTCACCGATTGCTTTCACAATTAGGTGGGAAAGTTGACACTTAGTTAATCGGAATGCACCGTAAGTATCAACAGAAGTCGATCACGTGACTCCTTTCCCACGAAGAACGTATAAAAGCATGAGCCCCCGGAAGTTCCAGGCGTGCCAAATTACTGTGTGCATCTTGTCTCCATACACCGGACATAGCGACTGAAGGGACATCGCCATATGACAGCCATTTGAACTTCCATCGCCATTCTACAGTTCCTGTACCGACTACGATTCATACAGCCCATTCAATGAATGCATATTTAGTCATATCCTATTAGATGTATTTGTATTTTTGAGCATTGTGAACTCTCTCTCTCTCAGGATAGCCGTTAGAGCTGTTAGAGTGGCCCTTTTGTATAGTGAACTTATATTTAACCACATTTAGCTTCTATATATTGTTATGGCCTCCTGTATCTTAGCTTTAATATTAAAATAAATGTTTGTTTCTTTTGTTAAACCTGTCTCCTGTTGTTGAAAGGACACCTGCCGGCTTACTGACGCACTCCCCACACACTTTTTGCCCTCCTAGCCATCCTACAACCGCAAGATCGAGTTTTACCAACCTTGTGCAGCGTAAATGGTCGGAAGGGATTAACCTCTGACTCCCTGTTTATCTCACAGCTTATTTATAAATTTCTTTAAACAAATCTTTTGTCTTTAAGTAGAAATCATTTTTGATTATAAACTAAACTATGCAGATGTAAAAGATAGTTGTTATGAATAAAAATATCTGACATTTGAAAAAATAGTTTAATGTTATGCTGACAACTGTTTTTGCTGTGATTGAATAATGTATTTTTACAGAGTAAATGATCATTTTAATAAGTTCTTGGAAGTATACAAATATAAAAAGCCTTTATGTATTGAACTTCCATATCAAATATAAAATGTTTGTAATGTAATGTCAGCATCAATATCTTGATACAAAAATGCACTAACATAATTTTTTGGCTATGATGGCCAATTATTGGAAGGAACATTTTAAAGTACTTTTCTGAGTGTTTTATCTGTAGTTTTTATTTTAATTTTTTTTTGTTTGGCATGATTTGTCACTGCTCTATGACATTGTGTATAGACTATACATTGGTTTAAGGATTACTATGAAATCCTAATATTTTTATTTTATATCTGAATAAACTTAATGAATTTTCAGCATTTTATACAAAAGACATCATTAAAGATTTTTCATTAAGTAAATAAATGGCTTAAGATTAATGTTATCAAAACTGTATACTGAAAATGTTTTATATAAATTTATATTTATTGAATCAGATGTAATAGTATGGAACAAGATGATAATCTTATGTTTGGTTTCTATTATTAAAAATAACAAAAAAATATACTTAGACTTTATAATTTTTACCAATTATGGCTATGAGAAATCAAAAATAGAATTGCCAGAACATTTGAACATTTTTGTCATATAATTTAAAATGTTCAATTCTGTTTATGTAACTTTATTGAAAAGATTACAGAGAAGTCAAAATGAAAAGTATTTACTCAAAACACTGAAGTTCATATCTTTGTTATCTTAGAGCTTTCCTAGTATGTAAAATCATCTTCAGGGACATTAAGAATCAAAGTAAAAAATTTGATAAAAATCACATTTTCAAGAATATACCTTATGTTAAAAAGTATTTATGTAAGGAAAAGTTAACGTTACAAAAATTAAAAGTCATTAAAGAGAATTGTTTTCAAATATTATTTTCTAATTCAGTGTTGCTCAAAATGGATGTTTATGGATTATTGCTGATCCAGAAAGACTTTGCATGAGATTCATATCTATATATGCTATATCCACTCTTTTGGATTTCATTTTATTTTATTATCAATATTACTTTTATTTATTGTATTTTCCTTAAATGTTCATAAATCCTTTTTTCATGCCATTTTATGACTTCTCTGTGCTTATATGAATAATATAATCTTCAAATATAACATTAGTCCTAGCACATTATTTTACCACTTAGAATAGTTTGAAGATCATTACCTTACTTCCAATTAGTTTGCTAAATAAATTCTTATCTAGCCATAATCTGTCTGAATTCTACATCTAAGTTACAATTTGGAGTTATTTCTGCTTTGATTTATATTTCAAGCAAATTAATACTTCAATAAGTTTCTTAATGATTAAATGTGTGCTAATGTAGAGTAATTTACTAATAAAATACTATAGTTATTTATGTATTTAAAGTCTTTCCACAAATATCTGTTTCTCTAGATGTGCATTTTCTCTGAGCTGAGTCAAGAGGAGAAAATTATTCAATTTTTCTTCATTTAAAAGTAATATCAGAATTACTGTATATTAATCAGAATCTTTCATTAAAAAACATATGATTTTTAATGCATATATTACAGTTTGGACTCTTGAACAATATCAAGCTTCTTCTAATCAAAGAGTTCTTTAATTAATTATTCTAAGTTTGGAAAAAATTTTTAAACATATGTCATTACTAATTCACCAATAGCTTTTTATTTTTTTAAATTTTTATTATCATATTTCAAAGGATTATGAAAAATAATGAATTTGAATAAAGAAATGTCAATTTTTCTATTATAGAGAATAAGAACAATGATAATTTTATATAATTTTGTTAAAAAATAAAAACAATAATTTCATCATTTCAATGCATTAAAATATTTTTTAATAAAAGAAAACTATTGATAATATATTGAAATTTAAAAATGTTTTGAACTTCAATAAAAAATACATTTTAATTCTATAATAAGTCTGTTTGAATGCTTTGTAATTAATATATTTTAAAATAGATTAACTATAGTAAAATATGTATTTTGAGTTGCATGTTAGATTAGTCTAAGATATTTGTTTTTGAATTTTATATATTTATTTAATCTTCTAAAACATAATAAATATGATTATTATTTTAAATGAAGTATTTATTTAACAAATTTTTTTAGTGTCTAGAAGTTAGTCTGTTCTGATTTCTATTTAAAGTGTCATTCAGTTGTACTGGAACATTTTTTTTTTTTTTTTGCTTTCAAGCTAAAAAATTTTTCTTTCTTTAACTTTAAAGTATTTTACAGAATGTTTAGATGGTATTAATTTATAATTTATAAATAATTTAACAAACTTTAATATAAATGCTATTAATAATAAATTAACATAAATAGTGACAAACGTATGTAAACTTAAATAGAATTAGAATCATTATCTTTAAATAAAAAACAAATTTATTTCAAATTGATTTGTAAGAGATTTGATAAATAAAATTAGTATTCTGTATTTAAAATGAAGTCAAATGAATTTCAAATAATAACTAGACAGATTAAAAAGTAATTTAATTATCATTAAGTATTTTAAATTAAATTTTATTACTTATTTATTATGATTATGTTAAAGTATGGTATTATTTTAGTATTTGGGTCACACTGGAAAATGTTAAAAAATTGCCAACCATTTTGTCAGTTTTAAATTTTTTTGCCATTCCAAATTATTTATTGCCATCGGTTTTACTAATTAATTAATGCGGGTTCTGATAGATATCCTTATAAGTTTGGAGTCTAGAAAGCAAAAGTAACATGATAAGTTGTCACTTAGAAATTCAGAATTATTGAATAATTTTAAATAACACATTTGATCACAATGATATACAGGTTCTGTCATGTCAAGATTTGTATACCTTAGACCAGTGGTTCCCAATTAGTGGTACGCGTACTTCCAGGGGTACGCGAAATTGCATGAAGGGGTACGTGCGGCAATTTAAAATCGGTCGATTTAAAATTTAAATGCACAAGATGAAGCAAATAAAAAAAATAATGGGTGGACCGTCAAAAATTCGGAAATTTATAACATGATGTCGAATGCTCAAATTCATTTATTTATAACTAAAAAATATTTACTACCATTTTGCACAACATACCTCTGCAAGAGAGGATTTTCGGCCATGACAAACATGAAAACTAAACATCGTCACCAACTTCGACTCGAACATGACTCTAGACTGAAGCTGACCAAAAAGCAACCAGATTTTACAAAGTTGTGCAAAGAAAATCGTGCACATTTGTCACATTAAAATTAAATAATCTTATGTTATTTTCATTATTATTACAATTGTATTTTATAGATAATAAATGTAAAAAAAATTATTCTATTTATCACTACCTGTCTAACCACAGCTTCTCCCGCATTATATCGAATTTTCTCGTGAGAATAAGATATTTTCTCGCAGTAAAATGTAGCCTATGTCCATCTCCAATATGTAAGCTATCTCTGTGCCCAATTTTATTTAAAACTGTTCAGCGGTTTAGATGTGAAAAGGTAACAGACAGACAGAATTACCTTCGAATTTATAATATTAGTATGAATTAATATGAATTTCTGCTATAAGGGGTACGCGAGTTTGAGCTGTTTCTTGAAGTGGTACGCAGGAAAAACTAATTGGGAACCACTGCCTTAGACTACTGAAAAAAAGATCAAAATGAAAAAAAATATCATCCCAAAAAATTCCCAGTCTGAAATGCTGTGTGTCATTGCATGAAAACTGCCTTTGGTTCTCATTGTCACTTCCTGCTTTCCTGTCTGAACGTGCT